GCTTCCCATCCTCTCTGTACTGAGTACAGAGAGTGAACGATCATTGATGACAGAGCTCTCGAACAAGTCGAGAACTCGTGTCGTTCTCACGCTCAGAGAAGAGGACTATTCACTCGTCATCGTGGTTACATCGACTCCCATGTTAGGGAGGGAGAATGAGATCGACTCCTACAGAACTGATCCTGTGAAGTATGATCTTAAAATTCATCGATCCTCACATCCCTAAATATAGCCTACGTGACAGTATTTTAATAACGAGTATCATTTAATCATCGTAGCCCTCTAACAACGAAATAAAAAACTAACCAGTAACTATTCGTAATATAAATGGAATTCAAGATTGAATTATTATCTTTTACAGTTCTGAAATGCAATAGAAGGAGGGAATTCAAAGGGGAGAGGAGAAAATTACTGTTTAAAAGCATACCTCATACTAAAAACATGTTGATTCTATTATATCTATCTCATCTCATTTAAGGGGATGCTGAACTTGTCTATATTATCGACAAAACACAGTAATTTTTGTATTGCTCTCATGTTTATTAACTTTATAGATTCGGAATCCTTTTCCGCAATTAAAGTTTATGCATTAATATGCACGTGTCCAGCATATTAATTTCATATCAAGAACGAGAAAAATTTTTACAATTTAGATCTTTTTTACCATTTCCTACTATCAAGAGTTGTCACTTAAAATGAAAATGTGTGCTTTATATAAAAGTTTTGCAGTCTGTACTTACAAAATTACTATTGCTAAACTAGTAGCTTTTAGGAAGAGATGTAGAGTATTTCTTATTAGGCTTAATTAGGCTTAGACTTATTACGATTAGAGAAGTATTACAAAAATTCGTTTGTGTGTGCGTGTGTGTGTGTGTAATATGAATATAGTAGTAATATACTGTCAGAAACAGTAGATTAGTCATTAGAATGACATATAACAATAAAAGTGAAAAATTGCTTTATAAAAATAGAAATTTAAAGCATAATTCTGTATCATTTTTTTTATTATATTGTATATAAGATGATGTTATATATAAAACAATTTTATTTATATTACAAGAGATGAGAGGTGGAATATTGTTTTTAAACTTCATTCAAAATTCATATTCAAGTTTTCAACATTGCCAATTGTAAAACTGTATTTTCTTTATTAGAGAAAATTATTTATACTAATTGACTTGTGATAAAATCTAAGAATTCTGTAACTTTTGTATATACACCTGGAAAACCTGGCTCAGCGCACTTGAAACCGTACGATACTACCCCGATTACATAAAACGTATGCTGATTTCGTGGATTAATACTCATCAGAGGTCCACCACTATCACCCTAAAAAACATTTCATATTGTAAGTAAAGTAAATAATAATTATTAAGATTTCTAACAAATTGTTAAGTTATTCTTTCCTTTCAAGTTAGATTTGAAAATCATTGTATTGAACGTTATTTATATTAAGCTTTTCGTATTATATTATAATTAGATAAATAAATAATAAACATATATTAGAAAAATAATTCAAATATTAGCAGAAATATAAATAAAGTAATAATTTTATAAAAAAGAAAAGATATTTGGAGAAATAGTTATAGTTAGGAAAATAAAATTTGATTTAAACATTTGATTTAAATAATTGAATCTAAAATTATCGAATTAATTAATTAAACTACAAAATCTATGTGCGTAAATTGAGATTGATTTATTAGTTAATTTTCTTTGTTTATTATTCTAAATAAATTTATTTAGAAAAAAAGAAGAGAAAGTGAATTTTTTATTAATTTTTTTCTTTTACATACAATGTTATTATTCATTTTTTTACCTGACAAGCGTCTTTTCCACCATTAGCAAATCCGGCGCATAAAACGCGATTGTCAATAACCGTTGTCCGAAAGTTTCGAAAAGCATTTTTGCATTCTTGCTGCGTAGTCACAGGAATTTGCGTCTGTAAAAGTCGAGTGCTTGTTGGGCCATCTGAAAAACGAAAAATCCAATAAACCTTAGCATTTTTTAAGTAAAAGATAATTGCATAATCAAATTACAATAAAAAAAATACATTCAACTTATGTCCCACATTACTTACGGAAATAAACAGATCCCCATCCGGCGACAAAAGGATACGTATTCTCTACATTTTTATTTCTATTAAAATCATCCACCGGAAGACAAATGGGATGACGCAAATCTAAAAGTTCGTAAAAATATATCATTCTATTATATTACGACGAGAAAAGAAGTTGAATCTCAAAAATGATATTCAATTTTGAAGATAGTTTTTCTTCATTTAAAAGAATCTTTTGTAAATGTAGAAAAATTTTTTTTAAATTATTGAATATTTCCTAATATATATTCAAATATAAGAAATGTTTATTTGAAATTCTATTTTGTTGTTTTTAAATTAAATTAAAAAATTGTAATTTAAATAATAAATATTTTTACAAAAGCAATTGGTTTCTAAAATAAAAATATTAAAATATTTTCAAATATTAAAATTACAAATAAATTTATTTTTTAATTTAAGAACAATTAAAAAATAATTTAAAAAGAATATATTTCACTAGATATGTACTTACATTAAAATAAAATAAATAAATGATTTTAAAATCTGTCAATCTTTTTTGATTTTGTCTAAGAAAATTTTTGATCAGCATTTCATAATCTACAAAATATCATAATTTCAATCAATTTCGAGGCCATTTTTCCCGTATAATTAATGCGAAGCCCTTTTATATCACGATTTTGTCAAATTCATAAAGAAAGTTTTACTTCTTGATTCCTTCATGAAGATGATTATGTCAGCGAAGTAATTTGTCATTATGTTAGCGAAGTAAAGCAAAATTGAGAAATAAATGGTATTTACATGTAAATGGTATTTCTTGAGTCGTTTTCAAAACTGCCACATCGTTCGTGTAACTCTTGGGATTGTATTCGGGATGCACTGTCATTCTTTCGATAAAATCCTCAAACGGTTCCGCTCCGTCGTAATCGCTGTTGAGATCCAAGTCGCTGATACGCACTTTGTATAAATCCGACCGTCCGTAAACGCAATGTCCAGCGGTAAGTACATGTCGACTAGAAATTAAGACACCGCCGCAAAGCCATCTTGGAACATTTGGATTTTTCGAATTTCTGTATCCGAGAGCAGTGATCCAAGGCCACGCGCCTGCAAAATTAATCGATTATTACTGCCCACAATTACAACGAGAATCAAATGTTAAAAGCAGTACGGATCTAATAATAAATCACTTTTAGAATCATACAAATATCTGAGATATCAATATTTTAATTACTATAAATGTTAAATCTTAAATCTTAAAATTCTACGCACACATATTTGAAGTAACAAAATAAATGGAATAAATTATTTACATTTTTAAAAAAATAATTTACCATAAAAGACTTTCATTCGCAATCATCTGTAACGCTTCGATATTTTTATAAAAAAAAAAAAGAATATAAAATTAATAGAAAAAAAAGAGAAACAAATATGTCCAGGTGCAAAAAAGGAAAACACAGATTTTAAATGTTCTGCAATAAGTTAAGATAAATTTCTTTCGATAAAAACATCAAAATTCAAACATGATGAGAAGTCAGGAAACGAGCCTGAGACTTTGAAGACTTCTTCATAGCACAAAAATTATCTGTACCTAATGGAGCTGGGTCGCCACCGACGATTCTGCGTAGCGTTACATTACTGAATCCGCAATAAGGCGGAAGTAAGGGCCCATATGGAGTATTTGTAATTTCCTTTCGATTGTCTCGATTGTCTTCCAAGCCATTCGTACCTCCGGCATCAGTATCGGATGGACAACAAACCAGAGGATCATTACCAATGAAGCCACAAAGGGAAGCACGAAGGAAATTGCCCACCACTGGATCTTGCGATTTCGTTTTCAAAAGATTCAATAAAACTGTACACGACTTGATATTGATGCATATACCGGGTTGTCCTTCTGGATTCTGACATTGATCTATCGAAATTTAAATTTAAAGAATATCAGCTCCAATTAATTCTTAATACCTAACAAATTTTTCAAAGATAGATCAAGCGAATTTTTTTCTCTCTCTTCTCTCTTTCAAATTATATCAAGTTACGAAGATATCATGAAAACTTCACAGTTGCGGATATAAATTTTTATTTTCGAAAACAATTTCTCATATTGTTGATATGAGGCTATTTTCTGCCAATAATATTTTGGAAAAATTTTACAATGGTATATTAGAATTGTATAGATGATGATATTTAAAATAATTTAAAATCCGGTAATGATAAAAATTTATTTATAACTATTATTATTTATAATTTTTTATTTTTTTATTAAATTAAAAATAGCATTAGATGAGTAAGATAAAAGTTATTAATGATTAAATAAAGTTATATATAACCATTTGATTTTTCATATTAATTAAGCATTTATATAAAATTCAACTTTTCTTAAAAGTATTTTAAAAAATTTATTGTAATTCGTCGTTATTAAACACTTCCGTACTTTTCCACATCTCTGATAAATTCTAAACAAGTTAATCTTCGCTAACGATCTCCACGCACAATGCGATAATTACAGAAATATTGTGACATTCTACTGTAGTTAAAAATTATACGGTCGTAATGAAACAGCACATACAATTATTTATAACAAATCATACTGCGCAGTGAATATGTTGCATTAAATATGTATGTATGCATGATATTTTCGATCATTAAAATGCTATTAGTTACATTTTAAAATGCGTTTCGTCAATGTTGCAAATGAGACGTTCTACGAAAAATTACGATATTTGCAATATTGACGGAATTTTTATTTTGAAATCCAGGAACTTGTCGATAACGAATTTAAAGCATTCCGATGACGATTTACTTTGTATACAACGGAGTTCATTTACAAGATACGTGTGAAGCAGTCAATGCTAAGTGGATAGATTTAACGAGACAGAATCACTGTTAGATATTTATGATAGCGATTTATCAGAAAGAGAGAAAGAGAAATAAAATTATACTTTTCCCGTTAACAAAATGTAACATACATTTTTTTCTATAAAAAGATTGATTTTAAATAATTTAATTTTAATTATTTATATATAAATATATCAGATATTTTTAACAAAGCATACATCAATTTATTATTAATTTTCAATTTTTTATGTTTTAAAACGTTTATCGGTTTGCAATATTATTATAATAATAAAACTTCAAATTTATGAAATTTATATTGCATAATCGCGATATTTTCAGATGCACCTTGAATCAATTATACTGTTTATTGTAAAAAATCAGTCTGACTTAATAAGTAATACAATAGAACATTGTTCATATACAATAATAATTCTACAAATGGTAGCTATAAAGTAACCGCATCCGGAATTCTTTGCTGATTCAATTATGTTATGCGATTTGAATATTAGATTAAGTTGGATGTGACAAACAAATTACTCATTAATTTTTCTGTCTCAATAATCATTGCCATTTAATTTATAATATATTAATAATATATTAAATTTTTTTGATCAAATATATTTAAGAACACAAAAATAAAATTCCAATTTTATCAATCCGATAATAACAAGAAGTAAATTAAAATAAATTAAATATAATGTATACTAAGGTAAATTATATTTAATTATTTAATTATTTAAATTAATTATTTGTTAAAATAAATAAAAAACAGACGTTTAAAATCATAAATTTTAATTTAACGTGTTATATTATTTGGCAAAGTTGACAATAATAATTTTATTGTTAATTTTTTTGTTAGTCAAGATTTTTTAAAGAATTTTTTAAACCAAGAAAATAAAAATAGTTTCTTTGCAAGTTATCGTATTTTATCCAGTGTACGATGTAAATTACTTCTCAATAGAACTTCCAACGTATTTAATTCAAAGTTTACGCATTAAATTTACGTCAAACTAAATACGATATGACAGTATGACGCATTTAACTTAAAGTTTACGCGTTAAATTTACGTCACACTAAGCATAATACATCGTAAACCCTGATTCCCTTAATTTATGGAAACGTTTTTTCTCAGAAGCATTGCTAAGTGTGTTGAGAAGAGTGCACAGTGTCGTAATGGCCTTCATCGCATGATGGCCAGACATACGTAAAATTCTCGCTTCGAAGGCTCTGGCCTTGGCCGTGTTCGGATAGCTCTACTATCATTTCTCAATAGTCTATATAACGAGAAAATAATGTAAAAGCTTTAAACTGATTTGTTCGATAATCAAAAAGATACCGTTCTATATCAGTCAACATTATTATATAATATTCACTTTTAAATAATTATCCTAATAATATGGTGTGATTTGCTTATACGCTTTCTTTTAACGTAATTTGTAACCTATTAATAATAATAATAATAATAATAATATTATAAAGATTTATATATCGCAAAGGAATAGAGATAGTAAAGTCTATATCTATAGGAATAGAGATAGTAAAGTCTATATCTATAAGTATATTTTTTCAGATAATATTTTGACATAAAAATATCTAAATAAAGCTTCTGACGAGAGTATAATGGAATCTGTTTGGTATAAGCTGCTCAAAATGATGATAAAAAGCATACCTTGAGAATGCGTCGATGGTATTAATGCACACAGCAAACTGATGAATACTAATGAGACAGTCCACATTTTGAATCACGTATTTGGATGTTCTAAAAATTAAAATGTATTATGTCATTTCCGTATTAAATGCTTACGAAATAATAAATTATTTGCATCCTAAAATAAATTCGACGCTAAATTGTTAATAAATGTAGTAAATAAATGTAGTAAAGTTTGAGATTTAAAGACAAGATTTAAAACTTTTGATTAAGAAAGGAAGAAATAAAAATAAATGGAAAAAAAGAAAACATTAAGATTTATATAAATAATATATGACAAAATATATAATTCTACTGTTAATATCATTTTTATTTAGCGTAATAATAAACTTTTCATGCTTTAAATATAAATTTAATTTTTTATCTATTATAAAAATAAATATGAATTAAATAAAATAAATAAAAAAATCACAAAAAAATAAAATCACAAATTATAATATATTCGCTAGTATTCACAAATATTATAAAAATACATATATAAATTGTCATTAATTATTATATTAAATTCAATTCAATTGCCATCAGAAACATGACATATTTTTATAATGAATGTTATATAGATGTTTAACTAGAATTGCAGCTTTTCAAATGACTTTTTATATTACTACTTTTTGCAATGTAAATCACTTCCACAAACTTTGGATTAATCAACGTTATTACAAGAAACAATATAGCTTGCGAAAATGTAAATCACCCTGACGTACATACATTCGAATGTTGTCAATATATTAGTAAGGAATAACATTTAATTTATTACAACAGACTTGTTCGTAAGCTTGCGCGTAATGCTAAAATTACACTTAATATGTTATTATCATCTATACGATTCCGTAATCATTCATTGACAATGTCTAGATTCACAATCTAAAAATACCTTACATACATATACACGCAGTATCATTGAATTATATTCTACAAATCTTTCTTTAAAATATGAAAAATGTGTTAATAAGATACATAAGAATATGTATCCTGTTGATGTATAAAATAATATAAAATGACATAAAATGTGTGATTAATTCAGACAAGTCACGTTTTTCTTTTTATTGTATTAATTGTAATTTAATATTTTTAAAGTTTTCATATTACAAATGATTTAAATTTCTATGTAAAACTCTTAATAATTAATTTTAAAATTTTTGTTAAAATTTATTTAAAATTGATTAAAGAATAAAAACTTGTATCCTCTGAGTTTGATTGATCAAAATCGCTTTTTCCTTGTTTATTTCTATTGATGCTGCATGTTTCATAACACTGCTTTTGTTAGAGAAAAATTATTAAAATTTTCTATAGGAAATATCATTTTATTATATACTAGCATAAATTAAAGTAGCTTTTTGGTATTTACTAAACATTTTATATATATTTAGTAGTAGTATTATAAATAATATAATGTAGTAATTGTTTATTAAATATAATTATACAAGTTTTATTGTGTTTAAAATAAAAACAATTTTCGCTTATATTTTAGGAGTTAAAGGTAATTTGAAATAATTACAGTAAAGAAGAACATATAAAAATTGCAAAACATTCAATGACTCGTAATGTAGCATGCACGTGGAGACTTTAATGCCTCGTCACTTCAGCCGGTGTGAAAACGAGTTCAACTTGGATGATCGTGTCATTGAATGGGATGCACAAGTTAATCATACCGATGATTGTAATATACGTTTAACCTAGCGTGACGACATTGCTAGAGGATTCCCCGGTGATTCGTTTCATGGTCAAAGTTAATTACAAGTTATATCTGACTGTGTGTCTGGCATTGGTAAAATTCGTTCGGAACTCAATAAAAATGGCATCACAATAAGGACATCACCAAATATGCATGATACATCGAAGGTTACAAAAATGATAAATTATTTAAAAAATCCAGTCCACAAAATGGACTAAGTTATTTCTGCGTACGAGCTAAAAAAATTATATTTAAATTTAAAACAGTTTATAATATGTAATCCAGATATTTATGTAATTATTACGATAGACTCTATTTATAAATGAATCAGTATCATAATCATGTAGTCCTGAAATCCTACAATTTTTGTTTGATATATTTTTTTTCTAAAACCCGATGATTTTCAATACTTTGTCAAAAGAGACAGTCTGTATACGTATGTGTATATATATATATATATA